TGGAAGTTATTCTCCTTCAGGAACTCGAAAGTGTTCTTGCCCAGAAGCTCGAAGGCAATGCACATGTGGCCATGGAAGTTGAACCAGTCTGACATCAGGACGCACAAGCTGGGCGGAGAGAAAGATGAGAGGATTAATTGTCATCCAGGGACGCGACACAACAGTCCTTCTCCTCTGGCTACTTCAGAAGTGGTCAGTGAGCAAAAGCTCTGGTGGTTAGAAAACTTTTCGTTAATTTTTCCCCACTATGACCTGGCACGTCAGCTGTTAAGAGTTTTAAGTAAACAAGTGTTCAGTAGAACTAGAGACAGACTCTCTTCTTCCAAAACACAGAGGACTGAGACGGGTTCCCCCCCACGCAGGAGGCGAGTAGCAGGTATTCTAGTTCTTTGGCCGTCGCCCAAGCAGACTACTTGTCTCTAAGGACGGAGTACTGACTGCCCCGCAGTCTTGTAGGAACTTACAATTTGTTCTCCTTGTCCTTCTCTTTGATTTTTTTCAGGACGTTAATTTCCAGCCTGGCTGCTTCTCGGTACTTTCCAACATTTTTTATGATTTTCAGCGCCACCTGAGATTTGCCTCTGTAAGGGAAGAGAGAAAAGGATGGAATCGGAGAAATAAGCTTATTTACAGTCCACAGCAAGAGCAGGTCCCAGTTACTCCAGTCAGTTTTTCATGCATTAAGAGGCTATTTACTGGGTAATGTTCCAAAGAGAGCCGCAGCCAGCTCTGGGAGCGCGCCCTTTCTTGACTCAGCAGTCCCTAAGGTCACTGTCCCTCCAGCAGCCACCTCCCCTCTCCCAACCGTGCCAGAGAGATTTCTGAGGAGGCAGGAGATCTCAGCGGCTCCTCTACTAAGCTGACCCTGTGGCTCGGAGCCAGACAAAAGGTCAGGAAGAGACAGGGGTCAAGTGTAATCACAGGAGAACTTAAAATATGAAAAAAAAAAAAAGAGGAAAAAAAAGAGACGTAGAGGCAGATTAAGAGGTCGCTTTCCCTCAGAGTTCACTACAGTAGAACAGCCTCAGCCACTGGACAAACTCCCCTGCCTCCCTCGGCCTGCAAACTCGGGGGACTGAGGCGTGAACCCTTTCCATTCGCTCTGAGAAATAATTTCTACCATTGCGACAAGCAAGGAAGGCGACAACAGTTTGGTCCAGCGGAGCCCCAGGTGAAACCAGCAGCGTTAATCCTGCCCGTGAGACAAGGGACAGAGGAGTTATGGGGAAGAAGGGAAAGACGCTTACCTGGCGTGGTCCACGCATTCCACCACTTTGCCAAAAGTGCCTTCACCCAGGCTGCCGACAATTTCATCTAGGAGAGAAAACAGGAGTGGATGTGAACTTCAGGGGCTTGGCCGGAGCTGAGGTCCTGCAATTTCACAGCAATAAAACGTCAAAGCAAAAAAAGTGTCTCTCGCTGCTACGCTCTTTAAAACTCAAGTGTCTATTGTCTGCCTCAGGCAATTTACTGGTCAGTCCATTTATAAGCAATAAAACACTAGAGACCCCTCGAGTACAATACGAGAGATCTCGTCTAACACGGGGATAGAAAGTAGAGAGGTAAAGTTTTACGAAAGGTGGCTGTACATCGCTCTTGAAGCCAATCGCCGATCCTGCACACCAGGTGGCCTTCCTTGTCATCTTCCACGCTCCTGCTGCGCTTACTGCTCTGTTGGCTTCTCTGTACACACCGCCCCCCGAAACGGCATACGACCGAGCGGCAGGATTGTGTTGTCATTCAAAGGTGAAGATGACGGTGCGTCGGTGGTTGGATTTTCCAGATCCCAGCATTTCATAAGGCACACAGCATATATAACGATAGGGATATTGCAAGGGACACGTCAAGACACAAACTAACTTCAAAACAGAAAAGTAATCAACAGCTACAGGTATGTGAAGAAAAGAAAAAAAAAAAAACAAAAAAACCAAAAAACCAACCACAACTCATTGGCTACGGCTTCTTGGGGCGCCCACGCGCCAGTGCCCCTCTTCTCTGAAGGGAAGCAGCAGCTGGGAAGCTCCAGGGTTAAGGCGGCTCGGCACGGCACCGCCGTTCCCCAAAGAGAAGCGGCTTCCTCCGCGGCACCGGAGGATGCCGCCAGAGGCGCGAGAAGAAGGAGGGCTTTGCCAGAACAATGTCATTTTCTCCGCTGGCAAACGTGACGAAGGGAATACGAGCTGTCAGTTTGGACAAGCTGTCCAGTAGAAGCCAGCGTAGCAGTTCTCCCTCTGCGTAGCCTGCTCTTTTCTACCTCGGTTAATAGATCGCCAGAGCCGTGTCCGTCCCCGGCTACGAACCAGCCCTTCCCCTCTTGACAGAGCCAACTACCACGCCGATCTTAAATCCACACGCTCGCCTGGCTGCAAAACAGACCCGGTGTTGCGTATCGGCCTTAGGACGCGGTTTTAAGCCTGAGAGAACTTTAGGAATCGGGACAGTTAAATTAATCCCCCAGGGAGCATTTCGTTCCGCTTCAGGTGTCCGCTAACGGTATGAGGTCGCGTTCACTCCTGCTACTGCTAGCTTCTACTGGAAAACCAGCCGAACGTTCCCAAAAGGACCCGGGCTCCACAAAGCAAGCTGCCCTAATTCCTGATCTTTTTTTCCTATTTAGCCTTAAAAAATAGTCACAACCTCTACAACCAAAGAAATTAATACAAAGCTCTGCATTTCCACGCCCGAGCTTCTATCGGACTTCGGTTGCCCCTCGCCCTCCCCAGCTAGTCCAAAATAGCGAGCTACACTCACACCCCAAAAGATCAGCTGAAAGGGAGGGAAGGTAAAGAGGACAGTTGAGACAGCCGTGAGAATTCAAAGGATTTAGATCGCGCCAGCCCAAACCCACACGCTGTCATCACCGCACGCACGCACAAGCAAACCGCACTGTAGAGTTTTTGGCATAACCCTGGCTCTTTCGGAAAGTAAAATTAAAAAAAGGCAACTGGAAAGAAATAAAAGGAGGAAAGCAACAGACCGTCAGAAGTTCCCAGCCATGCAGATATCCAACTTCAACTGCAGGGGTCGGGACTCGGTCATTTAATTGTAATAATGTTTAAAAGCAACAAATTTGTGAAAGATGGGAAGGTTCCTGACAGGAGAGAGGCAGTGAAGCAGAGACACGTGGCCTGATACCTCACAACACTTCCAGGGTATTCCTGGTCCCGGGACCAGCCTCCCTGCCCAGAGCCAAATATTCCCCGTTAATCCTTCAGAGGAATACTAGGTTTCAGGGTGGAAAAACGGGGAAGTTTTCAAAGAAACTGAAATCCAAAGACAGACACTCATGTGGAAACAGGCAAAGAGGACATGCGCGTAGCCCTTCCCTAAGTACGGCGGGACGGGGGCTAATAGCCACAGGGCTAACAACTCGGGGAGAACCAGGCCCATCCATCCCATCGTGCCTTCACGGGAGAGCTCCGTACCGCCGCCGCCTACCAAAACCACCCTAAAACCAGCAGCAGGACGCGGAAGCGAAGCCCTGGCCGTGTGTAAACCTGAACGATGACGGATCCCCAGCAGCCGGGCTGGCCCGCGGCCAAGGCTCGCCCTATCACGCGTGCGCCATTGGAAGCTTTCCCTGATCCCCTCCCCGGCCGTAAAGAATCCAGCTTAATTTCCTCACGTATTAAGGCTGCAGGGGCTGGACTAGTAAGAACCAAGGGCTACAAGCGCTTCCCGCTTAACAAGACACAGATTTTTGGACTATACGTTCCACGTAATGAAAACAAACACCAAAAAAAATAAAATAGGGGATCAGAGGTACTCACCCAGAGTGTTCAGAGCTGAAAGGAGGGAAGAACAATTAAAACCCTGAACAATCCTGAACTCGTTCTGGATGCTACTCACCGAGGAGGCACTGCTACAAGACCTGGTCCTGCGTTTCCGGCAGTGGTGCTGATGTTTCTTGGGACGGTGCTGCTCTCTGCCTCTGGATCGCCGCCAGTTTCGCGAGCGGGTTGAGTAATAGTCCTCTCCGAAAGACGGGCTTCGGTCTTCAAATCTGTAGGCGTCGCTGTCCCGTCTGTATCTCCTGTGATAAGGCATCCTGTCATGGCTGCAGCACAAACAAAAACGCGTTTATAAGCCTGGAACAGCACGAAAGGCAGAATCCCGCTGAAACAAAGCGCTCTTGCTCGCGCTGCCTGGTGGCAGGGAAACAACAGTAAGCGTCCTAGCTTAGACGGGCTTCGGTCTTCAAATCTGTAGGCGTCGCTGTCCCGTCTGTATCTCCTGTGATAAGGCATCCTGTCATGGCTGCAGCACAAACAAAAACGCGTTTATAAGCCTGGAACAGCACGAAAGGCAGAATCCCGCTGAAACAAAGCGCTCTTGCTCGCGCTGCCTGGTGGCAGGGAAACAACAGTAAGCGTCCTAGCTTCAAACCGCCCCTCCGCTGCGGCTCAAACACTGACACCCAGCCGAGTCTCTCGGATAAGAACCTCGAGAAGGTTCACAAGAGAAAACGGCGTGGCAACCTCGCCTTTCAAGGAGCCGGGGAGGGCAAACCAGAGCTCAGAGCTGGATCTGAGCTGCCTGCCTCATCTAGGCCACCTCCGCAAGTGTTTTTCTAACATCGTTCCTTCTCCCTCAGGAAGGTGTCTCATTAGTTCTTGAGCAAACGAGGTCTGAAGGCAGCAGTGGTGCCCCAGTCACCACCCCAGCGGGGACTGGAGTCCCCTAAACACCGAGCCTTCGCTGTACACGCGCGCGCCAGCTCAGATCGTTAACAAGAGCCAGAAGGAAAACTTGGTCTCTGCGGTATAGTCAAGCTCCCACGCCTCTAGTGACAACCACACGCAAGGGAATCGGCCAAGCTCAATTTCTGCCCCGGGAAGGGCCACAAGACATCAGACAACGCTCCCCTGCGCGAGTATTCATCACCTGGGGTCGCACAGGCAGCGTTAGGTACCGCGTGCGCACATTAACGACGAGAGCAGCTCTCCCTGCCCCACGTCGTTGAGCGAGAAGCCGCGTTTTTAGGTAGAAGACGTCGCGATGCAGGAATAAAAACCATAAACAGCAACGCTCTGGGCACACGCCGGGGCCAGGTCGATGATGTCACCTAGCCGACACCGAGAGCAACGGCTTCTCCAACCGAGACCTCGCCGCAGCTGCTTCAGTCCGGAAACAGGAACTTTTGTTGTTTGCGCCTCTCTGTTATTTCTGCGTCCCCGCGTCAGCGAGAGCGCTAATCGTTGCCAAAACAATCTCCTCAAATCCAGAGCCCAGCGAACCCGCGAGAGGCTGACGGTCTGAGACTAACGGGGCGAGGTGGTTTTCACCGGGCGAAAGCCCGTTTTCATCCCAATCCGTCCTACGTCGGGTGAAAGAACGGAAAAGGCCATCGTGTGCGTCAGCTGTATTTCACAACCCGGTTCCTTCAAGCGAACAAAAGCCAGGCTTGGGAGAGAAATTAAGCTGTAGGAACGTTTCAGGAATTTAAAGCTGAACTCAGCTCCCTTCTGACTGCACCTGCCCTGTTCAACCTGCGGAACAGCCCCAGCTCCGGTACCAGCGAGGACCGGCAGCTTATTTCGGTCGACGTGTCAGCACACGGCTCCCGCCTCTGTTCCGGAACCCTCGCCGCAGCTCCCATTAAGCGAAGGCCTCGTCCACCTCGTTTCCAGCACCTAATTGTCCCCGTGGAAACGCTGAACAAAGAGAGGATCAAAGGTAAAATCCAGAGCCGAGGCGGGAAAGATCAGTTAGCGATGCTCAGATCCTTTCCGACGGCGTAGGGGAGGGAAAAGCACTGTTAATTTAAAATCTGATTTGTAATGATTTCGGAAGGAAAGGGGCTGTCGGGAAAGATTTTAATGCATTAGAACTGGGAAACGCGATTCCAGCGTTAACTGGAAACTCTTCTCCCGCGTTAACGGTGAAGACGCCGCTTTGGGAAGAACTTTTGCTTAGCTACAGAGGCCGAAACCCGTTAGGGAAGGCGCAGGCAATTAAACCCTTTCCTCCCGGCCCCGGGATTTAGAGGTTTAAGGCCGATCCGCCGTCAGGAAATGAAAGCTGCCACCGCCTCGGCGCTCGCTCTGAACCGCCGCCCGAATCGGGGCGGTGGGTTTCTCAGCTAACCCTCCCCAAACCCGCTCCCACCTTCTCGATCGCGATCTCCTCGAGAGATCCCTCCGGGCCGGGTATCGCAGCCTCCCCTCGTAGTCTCTGCTGCGAGATCTCTTCCTCTTCCACCGGTGATCCAGGTAGCTCTCCTGCTCCGGGGACCGGTAC